GTAGAGTAAAACGTACTATAGTTTGTTTAATTTTTCTTAGTTCTGTTATTGCTATTGTCATAATCATCATGTCAGCCACAAAAAATATCCAACTGCATATTGGGTTTCATCAATGGCTGCCAGATAAACCATTTGGAAGCGATTCAGTGGCGACCTATAGCAGGTCGTTCATCCACCTTGTTGACAGATCCTGCACTGTTTAATTATTTTATTTAAATGTTGTAACATTAACATTACAAATAATATTCCGGACATAAAACCTATCACGTCATGACATGTTCTAGACAGTTTTCAGAATTATTTTGTATGATGAAAATTTTAAACACCAAACATGTGCTGCCAGCTGCCATATAACTATTTACCTTTTTGTTTTGCAAACCAACTTTTAATAATGATTGACAGAAACATTTCAACACAGAATTCAAGTAAAATAATACATTTTCAAACTCCAAAACAAAACAGAATAATCTATGTTTATTTCTTCAACTTTACAAAGAGAATAACAAAGATGAGGTGACATTTTAATTCTAAAAGTCAACGCTAGCTTATCTTTCTCTGCGTGATATTCTCAAAGATACGAGAGTTAACTCTAAGTAATAATTCATGCGGTTGCCGTGGTCATTAGAGATGTTACAGACATAATTACTAACAGGGGTGCAGTTTAGAAATGAGTGGTAAGAAAAATGGCGTTAACTGGAGTTTAGAAAGTACGTGCAAACGTACGTGTAAACGGGTCCTCAGTGCAACTTGACTTTAGTTAAGTGTGTAGTTGAATTTATTTTCGTTTGTACTTTTTTGGGTACTGTTTTTAAGATACCAAATGTTTAGTCCTTAAGTTTAAAATATGAAATGAAAAAAGATATTAAAAAGTATTTTTTGTAGGTATTGAATTTACGACCTACTTTCGGTTATAATGTTTAACCTACAGCTCATTACCTATACAACATATAACACATTAGCGCATAAGAAGCCTTGAAAACCTAATACCATTCAGAACCTGACCCCAAATTACTATACAGAAACCGCCTACTTACACGCACTTACAAAACATGACGACGCGATACGTTTCGGAATTCGTCGAAAAAAATAACTGAAACTTACTTATTCGTACCATCCCTAATTCCATAGTGTCGGCAGTGTCAGACAATTTTTCACTTTGCCAATTTGTCGTAACACTACAAAATTGTCCGGCGTTTCACCGTCGCCAAATACACTAGCAGTCTTGTTGGAAACAAAAGTGTTCCAAGCACTTTTTGCTGATGTTTGTACTAAACACGCTAGGTCGTTAAGGTGAGGTCGTTTTTCGACAAATTGCCCGCAGGTCCGTTGTGAAATATGTGGTCCATTCAGCCTTTTGAATAAACTATATAGCTACGGGATAAATAAGAAAACATTTTTGCTTATATTTATGCTTGGGAAAAAATATTTTAATAAAATATTTTCTTTTCACAGCGAGCTTTGGTTAAATGTAATTTACGGACGAAGTACATATATAATATATATTTCTCTAGTAGATAGGTAAACTTTTAAGAAACGAGACATCAAAATATTGATCTCTAGACTTGATATTAAATGTCTTAAGTGTGGGAGAGTCATGCTTTGGGACAAATGGGCCGGTTCGACCGGAGTGATAGCACGGTCTCACAGAAAACTGACGTTAAACAACGCTTGCGTTGTATTTCGTCATGTGAGGTTACCGGAGGCCCAATCACCTCCCTCCCCTCCCCAGTCTACCGAATCCCCGAATCCTCCACAATCTTCACAAGGCCGGTAACGCATTTGTAACGCTTTGGTGTTTCAGGTGTCCATGGGCGGCGCCGATTGCTTACCATCAGGTGCTAGTTTACCGGCTTATCCCATAAAAAAATTAAAACATTTACTAGACGTTGTATAATAGGTAGATAAGATAAGTATGTGTGGACATTTTTACATAGTAACTGTACAAGTTTGTTTGGGTGATAATTTGTTATCTCCATAATATTTGTAGTTGTTTAATATTGTGCAACACGTTATTATCTTATAATTTGCAAGGTAATGTTACGTCACTTAAAAAAGAAACTATAATGGTCTCACGAACAGAGCATAGTTACTACTCAAAGAACGTGAATTTGTATACCTAGGAAATATTTGTTTGTTTGTTTATATGAATTGAATTTTTGTATGTAATGCGTGTTTGTTCATGATAAAGTCAGAAACCGCTGAACGAATTTTTATCATCCAGTGTTTAGAATTCATCTTGCGAACAATTTCATAAAAATGTGAATACTTCAAACCAAAGTGCTAACGGAATTCTAGTAGATACCTAATACGTATTAGGTAATATTCTCTCATAAAATATATTACGTAAAGCATTAACAAAACAATGAAGAAACTCACTAAGGACTAATATTTTTTGCCTACATCCTTGACCTACTTTTGAGACAAGTTTCATAAACAAAATATTGGAGAAGAGATTAGAGTGTCTTCCAAGTTTTGTTACGACTTAAACCTAATTCTCATCCACTCATACATAGGATGTTTGTCTATCTGAACATTGAATTGAAGTGTTAATATTGTAAGAAAAATTTTGTTGAAATTATTTTGAATTTTTTTTAACGGGGAATATCATCGAACTCTTACTGACTAAAACCCACCCCGTTCCGACTCCTGCACTTCGAGCCGGAGCCCCCGACCGTTAGATTCTCCGAGGCTCTTTATCGGCATCAGCCCTATTGGGCTTTGGTGGTCTGATGGCTCTTTGAGGCACGCGGAACACGACGCGCCGCTCGCTCGGGTCTGGTTCCGTCCGCAGGCCCGCGCTCACGGTGGCCGAAGATCGTCTGGCGATCCCCGACGCCCGGAGTATCCTTCGCAAAATATTTTGAATTAAAAGTCAACTTATAACAAAACTGGTGAAAAACTGTGTTTGTGCCAAAAGTGCCTTAAACTGTCAAACACCAAGCGGTCACCGGTGACCGCAACCTATTGTTCTCTAATTGTGTCTACAAAACCGGTACTCGACGAGTTAAGCATGTTTGCGTAATGGTTTTGTTCGATTCCACACGCCACAACTCTTTGTGTGATCCATAAATGATTTTTCCGCGTCTGAGTGTCATGTGTATGTGAAATTGTATGATTGTAAACGCACCCATGATACAGGAAAAAGTTCAACTATGGGACAACTTTTATTTAAAAGAATGAAGCCGAGCATCGAGTGAATTCGCAACGGAGTAGTTGGTTTTCTAATTAAATAGTTTAGATCCCCAATTCGAGATCAAAGTCAGGATGAAAAGCTAGCAAAGAGAAATCTGATGATGTACTTCTTAATAATAGATAAGTCTGGAGTATAATTCTCGAAGTACTAACAATATTGCCGTCCACTATAAAACAGTAATCGCCACTAAGTTTATACGGGAATCCATTTGTCATTATTATGTCATAATACTACAGAATTGTTATTGTTGTTTTATCTCTTCTACTGTTGTAAAGACTTCGAAGTGTGTTTGTCTGTTCAGTTATAGCACATAGAAATGCACATTTTTATAATCCATTTAAATCACCAAGTTTATTGGGTTTTCTTAACCATCATTATTTAATTAGATGTTTATGAAGTGTGCGAATCTATTTAGCATTTGTTGAGCTTTTTGATGTCTTTGTTCTAGACCACAAAATCAATGTGTTTTTTGGTCTAGAATATCTTCTTCTTCTTCTTGTGGTGCCATTTCATTCCTGAAGGTCGGCCGAAAATTTGTTACACAGAGCTGAATATTATAATAGATTATATATAGAATATCTATACAATGTTTATTTTAGGTTTCGTTCTTATTACAAAGGACTAATAATTCAAACTCTTCCCAGAACAGCTGGCGCAAGACCTCCGCACCGCAAAATCCTGCTTTCATAATATGAAAATTAATTAATATAAGGAAAAACAAAGACTGTTGTCGCTGGTTGAGTTCTGCCAAGCCCGACTGTCGAGAGAGAGATATCATATTTGGGTATCGGTTAAGCAAAATATTATTATTTCAGAATTCTCGTGAAAAATAAGGGACTTAGAATTGCTGGCCTATTGATAAGTAATAATTGACAATAGGCTCGGCTCACATTTTATTATATGGGACAAAAAAATGTGAGAAAAATGTACTTTGATTGTGCTCTTTTGGAAAATAAAGATATTTTTTTGTATGGCATAAGCCGGTAAACGAGCAGACGGATCACCTGATGGTAAGCAATCGGCGTCGCCCATGGACACCTGGAACACTAGAGGCGGTACAAGTGCGTCACCGGTTTTTTGGGGATTTGGAGTTTGAGGATCGTTGGGGATTCAGGGATTGAGGAGATTGGGGAAGGGGAAGGTAATTGGGCCTCCGGTAACCTCACTCACACGACGAAACACAACGCAAGCGTTGCTTCACGTCGGTTTTCTGTGAGGCCGTGGTATCACTCCAGTCGAGCCGGCCCGTTCGTGCCGAAGCATGGCTCTCCCAGACTTAAACATATACTGTTGTAAAATGAAATTATTGACCAAGCAAAGTCGCGGTGCTATCCTGTGTGTCATAACACAATTGTTACATGAAAATAAAAATTATTGCGAAATACATTTTATATGACGTCGCCTTTATAAGTCTTTTGAGATCAATTTCTTAACTGTCGTTGGAATTACTGCGGTATTTTGTCTCGCTGTGTGGTTAGATTAATATGAAGAAACAGTTGTTAGTAATTTTAGTGGGCAGTAATTTTTGTTACTTTTTCTTTGTCTTATTGACGAGACGAAAGAGATAAGTATTAGGAACATTATACCTCGGTTTGATAAAAGATATTTTATACAGGTCCAGTAAATCATCTATAGTATGTATCTGCTATTAACTTGACCTAGAGACTAGCGAGATAATTATCACATTTACGATGAATCATAACAGATACAGATAGTACAAGATAATAATAACATATCAGTGCAGATTCGGCAGATCACACTATAAATACATCTACAAACATGTTACAAATTCAGTATCACAATAACACTGACGGAGAAAAGATTACCATGAGTCTTCTGAATAAAGTAGCTATTGTCACCGGCAGCAGCTCTGGTATAGGAGCTGCTATAGCCATTAAGTTTTCTGAAGAAGGAGCCAAAGTCACAATTGTGGGAAGAAACAAAGAGAAGCTAAACAACGTCGCCAAGAAACTAGGGGACCATCTGGTGCTAACTGCTGATGTCACCAAAGAAGAAGATGCTCAAAGAATTATAAATGAAACCGTGAAAAAGTTTGGACAACTTGACATTCTAGTGAACAATGCTGGCATAGCAACAATAGCAAAATTCGAAGACGATAATCTCATGACAGTGTTTGATGATATAATGAAGTTGAACATTCGCTCCGTGGTATACTTGTCCCACATCGCAAGGCCTCACCTTGTGAAGACAAAGGGTAACATCGTGAACGTCTCAGGTGTTGCTGGAATAAAACCATTTGCAAATGGCTTTACATCTCTCGCCGTATCGAAGGCTGCACTTGATCATTTCACCAGATCTGTAGCTCTCGAACTTGCTCCAAATGGCATTCGTGTAAATGCTGTAAGTCCTGGACCAGTGTATTCTGATATTTTTGAAAATATGGGGGTGAACAAGGAAGATGAAAGTGGATTTTATGAAAGCATGAGACAGTCGACTGCTTTGAAAAGGATATCTGATCCTGAAGAAGTAGCACATCTTGTGACGTTCTTAGCTAGTGACAAGGCTAAGGCTATTACAGGTACAATTTCTGTATGTGATAATGGTTTATTGCTATCTTAGAATTATAGATTTTGAATATCTTTACTATTATTTGACACGACTGCTTATGAAATTATTTTTTAATGAACTTTCGTGAGACATACTAAATAAATTATTATGTTTACGGCTTACTCAAGTAATAATTTGACAAGGAGGAGCCTTGGCTTGAAACTAGTTTAGTTCCTCGTCAAATTATTACGCGAGTAAGCCGAAAACGTGAAAATACATTTGTTGATGGTTTATGATTACAATCAGTGTAATTGCATCCTGACAGTATTCATATTTTCATGTTTGTAAACTTGTCTGTTTGCAGTATTTCCTGTGATTGCATTTTTATTTATTCTTATATTATTACGTTTACTATTGTGTTGCTATTCAAAATGTGTGTATTATATTAATAGTGATTAGAGTAATGTCAATGTAATGTAAAAAAAAAAAAATTGTCTATACGCATGTAAGGCTCATGTTCTGTTTTATTTGAACCCCATAAGTAAACATTCTTTAGTAGTCGATTAAGTCGATAAGTTTCTGTAGACAGATATACAGATATCTGTCTGTGGCATTTATAAATGACAGTAAGTGTGGAAGAGCCATGCTTCGACACTAATGGGACGGCTCGACCAGAGTGATACCACGGCCTCAAAGACGACCGACGTGAAACAACGCTTGCGTTGTGTTTCGTCGTGTGAGTGAGGTTACCGCAGGCCTCCTCCGCTTTCCCGATTCCCAAATCCCCAACCATCCTTATATTCGTAATTTCAAAAGGCCGATAACGCACTCGTAACGCCTCGTTTGCTCGATTACCGGTTTATTCCATAAAATAAAACAAAACTAAATAGCCCCCGGTATATCGATTATGATATTTTAATGATTAAACAAAATACAATTTCAAATTGATTTGTTCTCTGGCTTGGTCAATTACATAATAGGGTAGTTACAATACTTAGATTAAATGTCGTTAAGACTAGGCATGGTAGGTCGTTACAAAAATGTAGTGTTTTGTGACGTCACACGATATGTCAAATTAATATATAGTCGAAAACGTTCAATTTCGCGAGAAAAGAAAAAATACGATAAGATTTTTTGATCAAATATTTTCCTGTTTTCTAATACTGATTATCTGATACTTTGTTTTTTTTGCTTACTCTGACGTTTAATTCGGTATAGTAAAACTACTTATGTGAAAGTGTAAAAAAAAGGAAAATTGTAGGCTATGTTCAACTGAAATCTACGAGAACCTACTACCGACAATCTATTTGTCAAATGTTAATTTTGTTAAAATTTATAAATTAAATAAAAAAAAAACAATTTTATTATAATGTAAGTAACATTGTAAAATAACGTTCAATAATTTATAATCACAAATAATATTCATTCGTCTTGATAATAAAAGTAAACATATAAATAAGCCTTGGCGCATGAACCGGCTCAATTTTTTAGGAATTCATTCATTCAGGTCATTAGCTACCAGCTACGGGGATCTACACCTTGGAATGAACAAATAGCTTTTAATTTTTTGTTGACGTTCAAAATTGCGTTTCTGGTGTAATTGAAATAAATGATTTTGACTTTGACTTTGATTTTAACTTTAACTTTGACTGCCTTTCACCCGAAAACCCTTCATCCCAAATTTCACGGTTATAGTTGAAAATAGGGTATAGTTATTTTTTTCTATAATTAATGTAGGAGTTGAAATATTCTAGCAGTGTGAATGAAAAATGAAACTTTAGAAGCTTGTAGGATTTTTTTTTTGAAACAATTTGTATCTAACAAACATGTATTTGTATTTAATTGTCTTTGAGGTATCCAATACAATTTGTTTTGGGCCACTAGACCTACAAACAAAGGCGGAGCGCGTGAGGGAATGAACCTCCTCACGCCCCGGCCGTCGCAAAAGACATTCCAGGCATCGGGGATCGCGAGACGATCTCCGGCCACCAGCCTGCGGACGGCGAGCACGGGTGACTCGCCGCCCGACCAGAACCAGGCCCGAGCGTACGGCGCGGCGGGATTTTTTTTTTTTTAAGGGGGTAAAATCATCGAATGACTGCTCCCGCCTGGGTGGGGCGGGAGGGAGTGTCAGACTCTTACTGACTAAAAACCACCCCGTTCCTTCTCCTGCACGTCGAGTCGGAGCCCCGGTTACCCGTTAGGTTCTCCGCGACTCCGAATCGGCATCGGCCATATTGGGCCCCATCTGTGGTGGTCTGATGGCTCTTTGAGGCGCGCGCGGAACGCGACGCGCCGTACGCTCGGGTCTGTTTCTGGTCGGACGGGGAGCCACCCATGCTCGCCGTCCGCAGGCCCGCGCTTACGGTGGCCGGAGACCCCGACGCCCGGTGTGTCCTTCGCGATGGCTGGGTTGCGAGGAGGCAGCGCTTCGCGGCATCACGCGTCCCGCCTCCTCCTTAGCTAGCATGACTGCTTCGCAAAAGGAGGAGACGGCATCCCAATCCCCCTCGCTCCGCATCATGGCCCGCACTAGACCCTGACGCGAGAGATCGCCATCGCCGATCACTTCCCTGAGGGCACGGCGGTGCCTCGCGCGCGCGCCTCTAGGAGCTATCAGACCACCACAGATGGGGCTCAACAGGGCTGATGCCGACACGGTGCCGCGGAAGAATTAACGGGTTGCCGGGGCTCCGGCTCGAAGTGCAGGAGTAGGAACGGGGTGGTTTTTAGTCAGTAAGAGTCTGACACTCCCTCCCGCCTCACCCGGGCGGGAGAAGTCATTGGATGATTTTCCCCCCTAAAAAAAGACCTACAAACAAAAAAGGTATTTCGAATTAAAAGAATCATTTTGGGACTTTTTTCATTTCAATATAAAAATGATACATATGTAACTAACTGACATTTGGAACGGAGGCTTTTCGGGTAAACCGTAGCTAATGACCTTCCAAATTTCGTCAAACATCCTGGCAAGGGGGTTCGATTTCGGGCAAAGTATTACTGAGTTTTTTTTATAAATTTTCAGTAGTAGCACGAAGCCGGTATACGGCAATAGGCTCACCCCCTGTTACATGGGACTCATAACGTAAATAGTGAAAAGTGGGTGTTACATTACACAGTGCCATAACGTACACCTCTGCCTACCCCTTCGAGGTTAAAAGGCGTGATGTTATGTTATGTGTTATTATAAGTTATTTTTAATAGAAATTATTGTTTGGAATACCTACAATCACAACCTGAAATCACAATTTAGGTCATGGCATGACTATCAAAAAATATATATGTACAAACATGAAACTGACGAGTCATGTAAAATATTGAAACGGAATGTTGATGTTATAAATAAAAATAAATAATGATTTTGATAGCTTATCAGTGCAAATCGGCAGATCGTAATATAAATATGAAGAAGCATGCGGAAATTCAGTACTCCAACAATACTGACTGGGAAAGTAACATGAGTCTTCAAGACAAGGTGGCTATTGTGACTGGCAGCAGCTCTGGTATAGGAGCTGCTATCGCCATCAAGTTTGCTGAAGAAGGAGCCAAAGTAACCATCGTAGGAAGAAACAAAGAAAAACTAAACAATGTCGCCAAGAAACTGGGAGACCACTTAATGCTAGCTGCAGATGTCACCAAAGAAGAAGATGCCAAAAGAATTATAAATGAAACTGTAAAAAGATTTGGAAAGCTTGATATTTTGGTGAATAATGCTGGTGCTGCTACGATAGCGAAGTTTGATGATGAAAAACTCATGACAGTGTTTGACCAAGTGATGAATATAAACGTTCGCTCCGCGGTATATTTGACCCACCTCGCAAGGCCTTATCTAATAAAGACCAAAGGAAATGTAGTGAACATTTCAGGCATTTCTGGAATGAAACCACAAGTGATAAATGGTTTCCTATCAGTGTCAGTGTCAAAAGCTGCACTTGATCACTTCACTAGAGCTGTAGCTCTCGAACTGTCTCCTCACGGTATACGTGTGAATGCTGTTTGTCCAGGACCGGTGTACTCAGATATATTCGAGAATTTGGGGGTTGCAAAAGAGGAAGAAAATGGCTTTTATGAGAGCATGAGGCAATCGACTGCTTTGAAGAGGGTGTCTGATCCTGTGGAAATAGCAGACCTGGTTATTTTCTTGGCTAGTGATAAAGCTAAGAGTATTACAGGTACTGTTTCCGTCAGTGACAATGGTTTTCTTTTGCAATAAAATGGGTATTAAGTAAACATCTTTCCATACAACGTTGTATCGTAAACCTATTGTTACAATGACGTTTAATTATGGATTTCCATAGTCTTGTGTCTTAAACTGTCTACAAATGTTCACACGATTACATTTCAAGCTTGTAGTGGAAAGCATCACGGTCTTGTATTGTATGATCTTTAAGTGTGGAAGTGCCATCACTCGACCAGCAATAATGATAGCAAAACAGCGCTAGCGTTGTGTTTCGTCGTATGAATGAGGTTACTGGACGCCTCAATTATCCTCCTGTCCAATCTCTCCTATCCCTGAATCCCTAACAATCCTTAAATTACTCATCTTTAAAACGCCGTGGTAACGCACACCAGAGGCGTTACACGCTTCTGGTTTTTCAGGTGTCCGGTAGTCGGCATCGATTGCTTACCATCAGGTGATCCGTCCACTCGTTGACATTTTTATTATTGTTATACCACATTATACCATAAAAAATTCTTTGCACACATTTGACGGTCGCTATGTAACGGTTTGTAATGGGTTTACCTAGTTTAATGGCCTGGGCACGTGCTCATTTTGGTCTTGTTCTATGTTCTTCTTCGAGGGCTTAGGATATGTTTCGTATGTAATCTTTTCAAATAATTTATACCTGAACAATTTTATTTACGCACATCACATGTCATAGCAACGATGTAGAATTAAGATTTAAAATTTAATTTCTCTTTGCACTTATTGAATAAATTTTTTACCTCTTAATTATTATTTTATTTTCCTATCCTATTTTTCTACAATTTGTGTTTTAAATTTAGTGATGAAACTTACTTTATTTATCGTAGCCCTAGTATCATTTATAATTAGTTTATGTCTATGTAAAGATTAGTGTAGTTTTGTTACATTCTTCAATACATAGTATAAAACAAAGTCGCTTTCGCTGTATGTCCGTATGTATGCTTAGATCTTTAAAACTACGCAACGGATTTTGATGCGGTTTTTTTTAATAGATAGAGTGATTCTTAAGGATGGTTTGTATGTATAATACATGCATATTGCACCCGTGCGAAGCCGGGGCGGGTCGCTAGTATTCTATAATTGTTTCTGTCCGAAGATTTAAATTAAAAAAAGTAAAACAATCTACCTCCTAATTATTCAGATAATTAATGAAGTTATGAACATATATTAGCTGATAAGATGTATAAAGTATAAATAGATAGATATCAGTGTAGGTATAATCATGTTAGTATTTGTTTTCTTTAATGATATCTGTTTGCATTACGTCTGATGATTGAATATCTATTTTTAGCATTATTTGTATGAATTGTTTTCGATTTTGATACGGATACGAAAGTTTCAACTTTCGTAGATGAAATATATTTCATTAGAATGTCTAGAATATTTTGAAGTGTACAAATACTCGGTTTACGCACAACTTTTTTGTTTATTATGAATTGCTGATTCTGAAAATTATTTTAAAATATTCTTATACAGATTCTTATATAACATGATTGATTCTATCGTTCTAACTTAAATTTACATTCTACGACTGACTCGTTGGCCGATTGGTCGCAAGAGCGACTGCCTGACCAATTCACATCACAGTGGATTCAGATTGCAACGTGTTCACTTCAAATACCTCATACATAGATATTTCCCTTGTTTCTAACTTAGTGAACTTCCTAGCTTTGTGTAAGTGAAACCAGGCGGTTCAGTTTACTCTGATTGAGCAGTTGTTACCGACGAATGTGTTTAATAAACGTTTTGTATGTGTGTGTGCAGTATTTTTATTTCCATCTAGCTTCTACCATCAAAAAAAAAAAATAACGTAGAGAAAAATTCTGTTATCAACTACGTTTTAGAAAACCGACTTCAATCAACCCTCTCTTTTTTTGGAAGGTCGATAAATAATATACTAAAAGAACTAATAATATACGAAAACTAGAAAATTATTAGTTGATAAAGCATATTACAATGTTGTAGATTTTCTAATGGACAATGAATAATATTTTAAATACTAAATATCTTGGACATTTCATTTATTTTACTATGACATTTCTTAAATATAATCTTTTGACATTGTACCTATATTTTGTTAATGCGACTATTTTATTTATTTATTTATTTATTTATTTGTTCATGTACACACAGACAATACACAGAAAAAATATATACAAAACAAAACAGAGGTACATAGGTACTGCATATCCCTTATGGGATTTCTTCCTGCAGCCCTGCGAAAGGAGAAATAAATACGACATATGACACAGTGTGTAACAACAAAAAAAAAAAAAAAAAAAAGAAGAAGACAATGAAAACTTAAACTGATAATTAAAATTAGATTAACCAAAATAATACAATAAAAACATATAAAATAAATATAAATAAGTACCTATTTATACATACAATATGTAAATAATATATAATACATAATATACATACGATATAACACAATCTGTACTTAATAGGAAAGGTGATAATGTTCCCTCACACATTTTTTAAAGATTGAAATAGACTTAGAGTCACGTATGTTAGGCGGGAGTGCATTCCACAGCCTCACCGCATGAACCGAGAAGGAATAAGAGTAGTGGTCGGTTTTATGGGATACAATTTGGAGATGTGATTTAAGATGTGATCGGGAAAGGGAATCGGGAAGACGAGCAAAGGAAAAACGTTCACGAAGGTAAGAAGGATAAGTAGGATTAAAGAGGATATTGTAGAGAAGACATAAAATGCGAGTGTTCCTGCGAAGGCGGATTGGGAGCCACTTGAGTTTTTTACGAAATTCGGAGATGTGATCATATTTTCTTAGGCCGAAGATGAAACGAATACCGATATTTTGCAATCTCTCAAGCTTATTTAATAGCTCCTCTGTGGCATCCAAATAGCAAGCGTCAGCATAATCGATCAAAGGTTGGATCAATGACTGCACGAGGAGAATCTTTGTTTTTAATGGTAAAAGAGTCTGGAGACGCTTCAGCGAGTGGAAAGAATAGTGGACTTTTCGACTGACCTCACTCACCTGGGAACCCCACGACAGGTACGAATCAATGTGCACGCCCAAATTCTTAGCAGTGTCAGTAAATGGGATCGCAGTTCCATCCAGACGCAAAGAATTAAGGGCAGAGATGTCTAGTGCATTGCGAAAGTATCTACTTCCGATAATCATGGCCTGGGATTTAAGCGGGTTAATTTGTAGGCCGAAGGACCTGGCCCACTCGGCGACCCTGTCCAAGTCACGATTCATCGCATCAATCGCAGTATTAGCCTCCGAAGGACTGAAGTGTTGGTAAAGCTGCAGATCGTCCGCGTAAAGATGGTAATTAGAAGTTATGACCCTGGAAACAGTATTGATAAAAACGGAAAAAAGAATAGGGGAAAGGACGCCACCCTGAGGCACACCAGTAGCAAGGTCACACCAATCGGAAAAGTTTTCATCCAAGCGAACCCGCTGACGGCGGCCCCGTAGGTAGGAGTCGAACCAGGATAAAGAGGAAGGAGAGAGGTTGTTGGCCTTCAGCACCCCCAAAAGGATATCAAAATCCACAGAATTGAAGGCAGAACTGAAGTCCAACAATACAAGAATTGTGAGTGATTTGTTATCCATTGCCCATTAATGTTAATTTCTGTAATCAATTTAATAAGGACATAGCATAATATTGATTTTATTTACTATAATTTAATTTTTTTAAATATTTTGTTAATTCATATTTGCATGCCTCCTGGTAAAATATGGTTAATACCACATATTGTATTACCCATATTTGCAAATAAACTATCTTTAACTTATCTTATCTTATCTTAAAGCTTCTCCTAAGTGTTACAAACACTTCTGAAAACGGTATCATAAACGGTCCAGCTAATCCAGATATGATCACACAGATCCATACATACATAGAAACATACATGACAATTTGACAACCTCCTTCTTTTATTGAAGTCGTTTACTGAATTAAAATTGATTTTTTTAACATTAAAATGAAGCGATATTTTTGAATTGAATTTATAACCTTTCTAAAAATTTCCATACCGAAAAACAAAGAGAGATTATTAGTATTCTACTTCTCGTATTAATATACAAACTAGACATTACTCTCAGTAGACAATACCTTCAATAACTTTACCTCATTAGCTACTAGACGGTCCATATACACAAACACAACACTAACTAAGAAATAACATAAAAGAAACACCCAAATGTGAGGCAGAACAAATATCTTTTCCTATGGCCACATTACTCATACGAAATTACCTTGCTACACAAATACAGACAACCGCATAACAACGTATACCCGACTTCTCAAAATCTTTCAACGCTTTTTTAACGTAACCTCTTTTGGAATAAAGTTGAAAATTGATTGTGGAAATAAGATCTTTTTGGGTACGTTCATGTGCTTGGCATATACCTGGGGAACAAAAATTACCTAACCATCTTAGTATTCGATAGCCCTGCTTATACCAATGAAGGATGGTAAGAGAACAAATAAAAGAAACGTTGTAAGTGATTTAGGGGGCCTATCAGACCTCTACATCAAGGGTCAGTCAGACCTTAAGATAAATAATTGTATTGTATTTCTTTTGTAGGCTTTTTCTTTGGTATTTTACGTGACTTGTATTTTTTATTGTAATCGCTATTGTTTTCTTTTAGTGTAAGTAACTGTTTTAAAAAGTTCATATGCTGTTTTCATGGTCGATCTTTGCTCTAGCAATGGCAGGAGTGGTAGGAGTTTCAGTGCTGAGTAACAATGTCGGGTTTGACACAATTAAAAGGGAACTTTTTTGTTTTTTTTTTGAGGGGGAAAATCATCTAATGACTCCTCCCGCCGGGTGAGACGAGAGGGAGTATTAGACTCTTACTGACCAAAGTCAGTAGTGGTGGTTTTTAAACCACCCCGTTCCTACTCCTGCACTTCGAGCTACAGCTCTGGCAACCCGTTAAGCCCTCCGCGGCTCAATCAAAGAGACCTTACTGTGCTCTTTGCTAACTTTGAAAAAAAATAAATAAAAAATAATCTTATGTAAAACGATTATGTTATAAGCTGACGA